CATAGAGGCTAGATGTCTGATGAATGCCCATGTCTTTGAAAGCTGAAGACTGACTCTGAGATCCAAAATTTTAAAATATTGGCAAGAAAACAAATGAAAAGTAGTGTCTGTCTTCTGGGACAAATATTTTAAAACTCTTAAAAATATAAAAAAATACATATGATAAATGTTACATAATAAAATGTATACGGCCCTACCCTGAGGTTACCTTCTGAGTTTTAAATGTAGCCAGTGATAAATATTCCAAAAGATCTATTCCACAAAATGCCAAGCGAATCACTGACTCTCCAACAATGAAAATGTGGTATCTGATGCCCCTGGCTGATTTGGGAGTTATTTTATTGAACTTAGCCAAGAATGACTCACAGCCAGCCCCATGCCTTTGCCACCTACCTTTCCACTCATCATTGCCAGAACATGGCCTCTCTGCACCATGAGATCTGAGAAGGCTCCCCAGTCCTGACTGTGTCCTGTGTGGGCCTAGGATGGTGCCCGGAATCCCACACTCCCTACTAAAATGTATATGTTCCACCTAGGAGGGAGTAGGGAAGGTAACCCACTAAAAGTTAGCACACACTAGTTTATCATTTTTAACAGTCAGAAAGGGCCCTCGGGGAAGGAACACACACATCCTGTAAGTTCAGATAGGTCATGTCACCTTAAAAAAAAGAAAAGAAAAAAAATTGTTTGCTTCTATCCTATTTGAATTTTTACATTTAGACCCTGTTGCCTTACGGGCCTGTTAAGGTTCAATAATCCTCATCGAACCTCATTAAATTGTATAAATTCTATTCTCATTATGCCAGATGAAATCTTATGACTTCACTAATCTCACTAAGATTTAATGGTGCCTAACTGGATCTAAGAAAAGTTTAACAGTTTTTGTGACTTAAAATGTTCTATTAGAATTCATGTGACTTATGAGAACCTGACAGGAATTTTCAAGTCATAAAAGAGAGTGCTATACCATAGCTTGACACAACCTCACCAGCCAGCTGGAGCCGACCCTAACCAACATTCTCCTGGACTAATTCAAAACATAAGAGTGTTTTTTTCTCAGGCCTGAAATTAGCTTGGGTCACATGAACAGGATCATGTGCCCATTAGGATCCTTGGGATTACGTGGCAAAGAATTCAGGAATTTGATCCAACAGGCAGAGGTGGGCTTCCCTGAGCTGAACGGGTAGTGAGGGTAGATGCTGAAGGAAGGAGCTGCAGCACTGACTTGTAGGGAATGAGCTTGACCTAATAGGCATCATCGTTCCCCAGAGGTCCCCAGCACCCACTACTGCTGGAAACACGCTTCTCCCAGCTCCTGGGACCTTGACAGGGGGGTATTGCTTTCATTTCCCAGCACCCTTATTTTAGGCCAGGGTTCTGTATTGTCTTCCTGGAAGGTCACAATACCGTTTAACTCTTCCCCTGTCCTTCACTTTGGACCACCAAATTCATCTTCCCAAAACTTTGTCAAAACTAATCCATGGACTTGTGTCCTTACAATTCTCTCTGACGTGCTTGTTTAATGGTGCAGATTCCCTGGGCCTCCACTGCAGAGGCTTTTTTGTTTTGAAGCAGAATCTCGGGACCAATGAGAGATCTGGTTTTTGGGGTGAGATTTTAAGATGATTTGGAGATGATTTGAAGGTTCTAAGACGCTCATGAAAGTTGGAGAGCTACTGTCCTAACTCATAGGTCTGATCGCTGCACTGCGCTTCCAAGGAAGAGTTGCAGGCTCTGTACTCTCTGCAGACTTAAGTCCACACTCCCCAGCTAACTCACAAAGTTCTGTTTGATCCAACTCCCCCACGCCGTCTTCTTAGGCAGGTCTTTGAATGCCACCCACTTGATCTTGAACCTTTGTTTCAGGCTGAAGTTCTTTACTCCTTTGTCAGGTATAGGCCTTCTACAATGAACTTGGATGAGAGTTTTTGAGGAATCATTGATTCTGTCAGGCTATATATAAACTCTCATGGAGGTTGATTGTCATCTTAATAGTTTTAATGAACTTGAATAAGCCATGGGTCAAAGAAGAGGCAACCAATTAGAACCAGCAAATAGAGCAGGTGAGACTGCACAGAGCGGAGGAAGCCAACCCCAGGTAGACACAGTTCAAGCTGGTGGAAACCCCATGAGACCTGAACACTTCTGGGTCACTCAGGTCACCTGTTTGATTTCCATGGCTTGGGCCACCATGCTCCACCTGGTGGCTTGGCCAACCCCAGGCTCTGGAAGCAAGCCCATTCTGAGTCTGAAAGTGTTTTTCATTTTTATTTTATTTCATTTCATTTTATATTTTATTTTAGTTCTTTTTTTCTTATATCATTGTTAATATTTGGACATTGTACAATCATTGTAATATTTGGACCACCTTCATACATGGTCACTGGAGTTCTCCCACCACCAAAGCAGCCATAGTGCATCACCATAGTCTTGTGTTCTCCCCCATCCCCATTTTTCTTTCTTTCTTTCTTTTTTTTTTTAAGACTTATTTATTTATTTATACAAGCACTGGGCACAGTCAGAAGCACAGGAGGGTGAGAGAATTCACCAGAGCCAGAGCGGGGAACAGAACAGGCAGACTGATGAAATACACTGCTGAGGGGAGCAGCGGGCAGCAGGAAAGGTCTGTGCGCCATATGGGTCCCTCCTCTGGTGGCCGGGGAGCAGCTGGGGCTCAAACTGGCGCTGCAGAGGCTGCAGGCAGCTTCGTAGCCCAGCGCTCAACCACTGTACCACCAGGGGAGGCCCAACCCATGCCCATTTTTCAACCCTCCTCCTCTCCCTTCCCTCCTGGATACTTCATATCTATGGTCAGATGTAAGTGACACTATCCAGTATTTATCCCTCTCCTTCTAGCTTATTTTGCAAAGCATAACCCTTGAAAGTATTTTTTTTTTAATGGGTGCTGACTTGCTGACCCAGTGTCCAGCTTCTGGTAAGTTGATTTCTTCCCTATCACCCATTCATTCAACAAACATGCACTTGGAGCACTTTACTATGAGTTAGGCCCAGTGAAACAGGAAGTTGGGAGGAGAGGTCTGCAAACGTGTTATCATGAAAATGGATGCCCTGCTGTGTCCTTTTCCCAGGGCCAAGAGCCCTGGTCTAACCTCCCATGAACGAAATCCCTTGGTAGATCTACATGCCTACAACCTTTAATGTCCAACTTATCTCCTGCTCACAGAAGCTCTATAGATTAAGCTTTGGCACTTGAACTTGAGATTATTTGGTCATATTCATGGGTAAAAATTTCTGAACTCAAGTGCTGGAGATAGTTGAAACAGTTCCACTCCATTAAGGGAAAATAGATTTTATTCAGCCAGGAAATTTCAGTGCTCACATATGCCAATATCCCAGGCAGATGAGTAACTCAGCTTTGCAGTGCATTTTGACCAGGTGTGAAGCAATCAGCTTCTGATAATACTGATAATAATTATGGATGATGATCAATATCATTTATTAAATAGCTACTGTGTGCCAAGTGATATTCTTGGCCCTACATATAATGATAATCATGATAATAATAATAGTAATAATATGGTCAATATTTTTCCAAATAGTATGACATCTCAGACATTGTACTAAGTCTTCATGTACATCATTTAATCTTACAGCTACTCTGTGAGGCAGGAATGCTGACTGCCCATTTTACAGAGGTGTATGTTGAGACTTGGGAGCTTGATTTACTTGCTCAGTACTTCAGAGCGAAGTGGCAGGAGCCCAAATGCAGACTGGTTGGGATGCCAGAGCTTAAGCTCTTACCTTACTCATTATTTAAAACATTTTTATGGGCCTCCCTGGTGGTGCAAGGGGTTAAGACGCAGCACTATTAAGCTATCCGCAGCAACTGCAGCACGAGTTCTATCCCCAGCCAGGGAGGAGACCCACATGGCACAGCAGACCTCTCCTGTCTCACTGACTGCTCCCCTCAGCAGTGTATTTCAGTGGATCTGCCTGTTCTGCTCCCCACTCTGTCTCTGGTGAGTCCTCTCATCCCCGCATCTCTGGCCTGCACCCCAGCTCTCGTATGCATAAATAAGTAAATCTTTAAAAAAAAACATTTTTATAAGAAGATTCAAATCTTACAGAAGTAGAGAGAGGAGCACAATGAATGTCTCCTTCCCTGTCCCTCAGGTTCGGCACTATCAACTCGTGGCGAATCTTGTTTAATCTATGTCCTCACTTACTTTCCCTATAATCTGTAATGATTTGAGGCAATTCCCTGGCATCATCTGTAAATGTTTCATTCTATATGTATCTCTAAAATAGCCTTTATCTCATTTTCCTAAAAATACTGACAGGTAAGTTTTATTAGCTCCCCGTCATACAGAGAAGTAAATTAAAGTTCAAAGAGAAGGGTCCCAAGTCACAGAACTAGTAAGAGGCAGATCTTGGTTTCACCTCCAGGTCTGTGTGACTCCGAAGTCTTTTCCCTAAAAGAGCTTGCTAAATGGAGTTCTCTTCCACAGGAGAGGCTTCTTCCAGAACAGCAGTTGGGGACAGAGGGCCCCGAGCTCCTGATATAGACAAGCTAGGGAACATTTCTGGCTTCCATGAAATTAAATTAACAACGCTTTTTCTGATTAAGGATATTCATGAAACAACTGGCTTCCTTCCAGTTCTTTGATTCTGCTCTGCCCAGTACATGTCATTGGGCCCACTGATACCCCAGTGCGCGTGCTTGGAAGGGAATTGCTTCCAATTCATCCCAGTTGGTGCCTTTGCCCTTGGAGGGGTAGCCTAGGGTCCCCTGACCCTTGAACTCAGTATTACTAGACTCATAAATATTCTTTGAGGTCTCATAAATGGAATCAGTCAACCTTGGCCCTTGGTGTCAGGGTTTTTGAGCAATGGTTCTGTGCTTTGCTTTCCGCAGGCAAAATTCCTGGTTCAAATCAGGGACATTAGAGAATATTTTTTAATGTTCAACAAGATGGTTTTGGTCTTAAGGCTGAGGTATGCTCTCTGAAATTTATATGCTATATTCTTTTTTTTTTTTAAATGGGAGCGTGCGAATGCAGTCCCCTACTACCAAAAATTATGCAGTCAAGTTTCCCTCATTTGGGAAAATCACAGGGATCAGCATGTCCGGAGTGCAAAGGGACAGGCTCGCCCTGGGAAAACCACCTTTGTGGTCATGGGCTCTCCCTTGCAAGGTAAGTATCTGATTTTCTTTTTGAAGACCATAGCAACACCCAGACTATTATGCACTGTACTTCTGTAAACTGAAGAAAGGATGTAGCCTCCATGCTTGGAAGTCAAGATGCTTCTGGAGGAGCAAAATTTCTTTTGAAATCATCTGAAAGTTTTTTTTTTTTAAAGATTTATTTATTTATTTATTTATTTATTCAGACAAGCACTGGGTACAGTCAGAAGCGCGGAAGGATGAGAGAATTCACCAGAGCCAGAGCGGGGAGCAGAGCAGGCAGAAGGACCGAAGGACACTGCTGAGGGGAGCAGCGGGCGGCAGGAGAGGTCTGCTTGCCATGTGGGACCCTCCTCCGGTGGCCGGGGAGCAGCCGAGGATTGAACCGATGCTGCAGAGGCTGCAGGCAGCTTCGCAACCCAGCGCTCAACCGCTGCACCACTGGGGAGGCCCCATCTGAAAGTATTTTTAATACTTTTTTTCAACAATAGCACCACATCACATTCCCACACCCTTCTCTCCATTTTACAGGTTTAACCTGAGACCCAAAGAAGGCAGGTGACTTGCCCAAGGAGACACCGGGAATTATGAGCAGCACTGTGGCCATCCCACCGCAGGGGTGCACAGCACTGCCATAATGTTTTAATTAGAGATCGTCAACACTTCTACTTTCTCTTCTTTGGCACTGTCTTTCATTTCCAATTGGCCTTCAGCTAAGGCAGAACCTTTCCTGGGATAACTACTATAAAAGCCAGATTCCTGGGTTCATAATCCTGGCTGTGCCTGTTACTAGTTGTGTCCTCGATGGTAAATGACTTCTCTTTTAGAGCCTAACTTCTCTCATTTCTGAAGTTGAAATATAGTAATTCTTACCCCAGAAAATTGTGGCAATGATTAAATGAGTTAAAACATACAGAGCATTTTAGAACAAAGTTCTGATACTATGCAATCTGATGGGTTAATACAGTAAACATTTCAATTGCAGTGAAGCAATTGAATATTATTTTTCACTAATGTTTTATTCATTCATAAGCTTTTGTACCTATAGTTTTGCATGGTAATATTTTGTCTTCTTTCTCCCTCATTCATTGTATGCTGATGAGCTACCCAGTAACTGGATTCACCATCACGCAAAGGAAATATTTCCATGTAAAATCCTTGTAGAAGCTAGGTTTTTAATCTTTTCATGCTTTATATTTTTCTTTCATTTCCCTCATATAGGGTGCAATGCTATGTATTCCATATAGCAGGTTCTTCATCGGGCATAGTGATATCTGCCTAAAATTGGCTGATGTCTTTTTTTTATACATACAAACAATGTCTGTTTATTCTCAGCAATACTAGGAATTACTATTTAGCAGATACACACGATGTACTCAGCTCTGTACTCAAAATTCCCTGCGTTGAATATGATATAAGCAATACACTTGTCAGCCACATGCCCTGCATTTCCCATGATAATCATGATTTCTATTATTCTAGTCCATTGTCAGTCAGTCCATATGTTCCAGTTTTTCTTTCTGAAAACTGTGGTTCTCTTTCATATTAGTGCTAAATTTTAAGATTATTTCATGCATTTATGTTTAATCCCTGGTGATGTGTAACTAACAAAATGGTATCTTTGTAAATAAAGCACATTCAGGGAATATCTTTGAGGATCATTCCAAATTCTCTAGTCAGTTTTCATGCAAGGCACTTCATGGTCTGGCCCCTGCTGACTTCCCAATGTCATCTCTCAACCCCTGCCTCTCATACCCCGAGTGCCAGCTAAACTTGACTTCTTTCACATTTCTCATGTCACCTCCTGGCATTTTATGCATGCTCTTCTCTTTGCCATAAATGCTATTCCTTGTCCCCCTCATGCTCACCTCTTCTATTATTGCCACACAATATCTGCCACGCAATCACACACACACACACACACCCACACACACACACACACTCTTAGCATTGTTAATTCCCACTCCTCTTTTGAACACTTCAAGGGGGTAGGTGTGTCTTTCGGAGGTGATGAGTTAGGTTGTCTGAGAACATTCCCATCATTAATTCTTTTGGTTGCCACTTATCTGTCCCACTAGATTGTGCCTCCAGGAAGGCAAGGGTGCTCAGTGCCTTAGCAGTCACTTATTCATTCAATAAACACATGTTTACTGAGCACTTAATGTACTGTATGGCAGGGTCTGTTCACATACTGTACATTCAGATGACGAATAAAAGAGATATGATTCCCGCTTTCAGGGAACTTACAGTCTGGCACTGGAGACAGATATCAATCAAAATATCTTGCAAGTCCAGTATAATGCCAAACCTTGCTAAGAGCTATGAAAGAAAAGTATAGAGACAAAGAATAAAGGATGAAAAAGAGGAGGTGTTTAGGGTGATCAAAACTACTCCAGAAGTTGACAATTAAACTGCAACAGGAAGGATCAGAAGAAACCCATCATGCAGAAAGCAGAGTGGCCTGGGGCAGAAGGAAGTACATTTTAGGTACTTAATATATGTTTGTTGAATGAATAATGAATATTTAAATGAATTCTATTGCAAAGACTTTTGTCATGACTTGTCATTTGTAATGGAAAGAACCACCGCTATCTCTGTGGTCTCTATCTTGGATATTTCTCTACAGGCATTCTGGGGCAGCAGCAGTCTCACATCAGTACTTGAGCTGGCAGTCCTTGAGATAACGGCAGATGCTTACAGCAGGGAAAGTCCAGAATCAGCCATATATTCAACCCTCTTCTTAACAGGCCCCAGTGTACATGACCCAGCTTCCTGGCCCCTGACCTAAGACCTCGAATCCTGGCCTTTGGCCAGGCCTCCCATCCTGGAAACTGTTCTGAAGGAGCTCCCTTCCAACTATAAATTACCTTTTTTGTGACTAGTTAGGTTGTTCTATCTGACTTATATACACTTTGAAAAACTTGAGAGCAGTAGGCATATCCTTGGAGGTGACAAAGCCGGATGTTTGTGCTTATTTCTATACAAAGTTAGATATTGGCTCCTCAGAAGATAATCTGACAACACTTTAAACCTCTTTTACAAAGCTTATCACAGAATGTCTTGAATTTTATTTTTCAGTGTCTGCCTTATCTTCCTTACTGAACTGTAAATGTATTCTTGAGGGTAAAAGTGTGTTTTTAGATAGTCTCTATCTGCCGTTATTGACTTACCCACCATAGACACTCAAGACCTGTGTGTTTGCACTAAATTTTTCCTGTGAAGAAATTTATTGAGACTTCTTTTACTGAATAATATTCTTGGAAAAACTTTACTAAGTTCAAGGGCAGTATGTGGTGTCGTGGATTTTCCTTGTGTGTGGTCCATTTATAATGTAGCTGGATCAGTCAGGGGTTTGAACAGACACAGAAAGACAAGGATATATATTTATCTATAGAGATTTGTTTCATGGAGCCCACATCACACAGTTGTAGGAACTGATTGAGTTGTCTCTGTAAATTAGTTTCCATTGTTTCTGACGCTCAAGCTTCAATTTCATGGGACAGGCAGTTGGGAAGGGAAGAGGACATACAATGAGGCAAAACAAGAACATGGTGGATGTCATGAGGGACTGAAACCCATGTCAGTACTTGTTGCCTTGACCTTCATATCACCGGTGTCCCACAGATGCTTTGTCAGAGAGCTAAACACATACATATTTGGCCCAGAAGTTGGAGAAATTTAAGGAGCAGATGGGGAAAGAAGATGCTGTTTGCAGGCTCAGCCACACCCTCACATCACCAAGCTAAGCCAGCAGATGAGCTATGAAAGGGTTGCTGCTTTCCTTCCGCTCTCCACATCTCCCTTCTACCGGAAATACACAGGAAAGGAAAGGCTGGGAAATGTAGTTAATCTAGGCAAGTGGGCCCATCACAAAGTCAGTTCAAGGGGGACCTCAAGATTGAGGTCTGTCAGCAAGCAAATGCCCTTGATCCCCTTACAGTAGACAGTAACCTGTTTCTACCAAGCCTGCTTGAGTGTGCCCTAGTTTCCTGTTTGACTGACTCAATCTCATTTTACTATTATCCTTTAAATATGTCACATGGTCACATCCTTCAGAGAGCTAGCATTTTACTGACCTGGTAAGGTGATTTTCTTCTATAGTATTTAAGTTGGGTTTCATTTATTTGTTCCTCTTGATTTCAACGAGAACCCTTATGTGGGTCATTTTTTACTGATGAACCAAAACGTGTTTGGGTCTATCTGCCTCTTAGTAGCTCTTCAAGGGCTGTGCCATATTATAGGGGAGTTGTTCAAGAGCCAAACTTAAACTTGCAATTTGGGGTAGGTGATTTTGGGGATTGAAGGAAATACTATTTTTCTGGCAGTGCTTTTATCCGGCTCTCAATCTGAGTCTCAGGATTTCTTGAGTCTTTAGGGCTGGTTCACACATTGGGCCAGTCCTGACAGGCATGCTCCCACAAGCGCGCGCGCACACACACACACACGCACACACACACACACACACACAATATGAGGGAGAGAGAGCGCGCGCCATGCTCTCACAAACTGTAGAACAAGCCTTCCTTTCCAATTTGGTGGCTGGAAAGAGAAAAAGAGAAGACAAGATGGTGATGGATCCTTTGCAAGATTTCAGCAGAGAGGATCTTGGCAGGCTGCCTGCTAGCAGGGACTGTGCAGTTTACAGGCATGGCCACAAGATGGCGCAGTGACAGTGCACATACCGTACACTCCGGCGGGGAACAGAGGCCCTCTAGACAGCCCGCATTCTTGTTTTTCCAGTCGGGGCTTAAGCACTGGGAAGATAGCAAATAAGCAAAGAAGCCAGAGACTGTGAATGTTTTACCAAACACCCAGTGTTTGAGAATGAAAAAAACCTATTTACAGCCATAGATGGCTCTGAAATCCTGGCGATGGAGACCGGGTGTACAATGTGTAGGTCTGTCATCTACTGATGAGTTCTTGGCTGTGTCAGTCATAGGGCAAGCTAATAAAGTACAGTATGAATTGGCACTTTTTATGAAACAGATTCCGTTGCCCCTGGCCATGGTTGATGGACT